GTACACCCATCTATTACTACTAGAATGTGTTTATATTTCGTACTACTTCTGTGAATGGGACCATAGTGGTCGACATGTACCATTTCAAACGGCTTATTTCCTTTTGGAATCATATTAAGGTGTCCCTCTTTTTTCCCGTGTTTCGTAGAGAACGCTATACACTTCAAGCAGTTTTCAACGTGAACAACTGCTTTTTTCCTAATGCTTGGGAACCAGTAACTTTTCTTTATTGTTTCTACGACCTTGTCAACCCCGACATGACCCATCTCGTCATGATATTTGTATAAGACGTGTTTTTCCATTGATTCTGGTATATAGAAATATAAGTTATCGTTATTCTTTCTGTAAACTATACCGTTTCTTATCTCAAAGTGCTTATTCTCAGCCGTTTCTAATTGTTTCCTAACATTCTTTATATTTTCATCTCTGTTTTGGCATATGATTAAGTTCTCCTCAAACGTATTTGAATGGATAGTCAGTATATTGTTTACTCTACTAAGCGCGTCGACGTGCTGCATCTTTTTACCCGTCCTATGTTCTAGTTCGTAGTCGTAGTTTTGAAGTTCCATTGCCCACCTTGCAATGCGTGGGTTAGTGTCTTTTTTGTTAAGCGTTAATGTCAAAGAGTTACAATCGGTAATAACTTTAAACTTGATACCCTGTAGGTAAACTCTAAATTTTTTCAACGCGTAGATTATTGCCAACGTCTCTAATTCAAAGCTGTGATACTTGGATTCTACGTTAGTCGTGCGTTTTGAGAAATAAAAAATAGGGTGCAACTTTTTATCCTTTTTCCTCTGAAATAATATTGCCCCAAAACCCAGCGCACTTGCGTCGCAGTGAAGTTCGGTGGCATCGCTGGGATCATATATAGCTAACAAGGGAGATTCCACCAACTTTCTTTTAAGTATATCGAAGGTTTCCATTTCTTTATGACCGAACGTAAATTTTTCTTCTTTTTTTAATAGGTCATAGAGCGGTTTTGCTATTATCGAGAAATCTTTTATAAATCTGCGGAAGTACGAACAGAGCCCTAAAAAACTATGTACTCCTGCACCTTTGTTGGCACTGCAAAATTTTCTACAGCTTGAACTCCTTTCTTGTCAGCTCTAATGCCTTCACCAGTAATCAAATAACCCAGATATGAAATTTCTGATTGAAGGAACTCACACTTATCCAGCCGTAACTCTAACTTGTTCTGCCCTAAACGTTGAAAAACTTTCTCTAGAACACGAATGTGCTCGTCCAAGGTTTTCGTTGCAACCATAATCTCATCTAGGTATATAATAACTTTGCCACTACGTATCATGTCCGCGAAAATTTTATTTATGAACTTTTGAAAAGTTGCTGGGGCATTTCTCAAACCGAATGGCATTCTAAGAAACTCAAACTGTCCTAGGGGTGTTGTGAACGCAGTATATTTTACGGACTGTTCCTCCACGTACACATGAAAAAATCCGTTTTTAAGATCTAGCTTTGTAAACAATTTCATATTTGCTAATCTATCTAACAAATCATCTATCAACGGTATAGGATAGTTGTCTTTCGCAGTAACTTTATTTAGTTTCCTATAATCAACACACATTCGGAGCTCGCCCGTTTTCTTTTTCACTAGTACTATTGGGGAAACGAACTCGGAGTCGCTGGCACGGATATAGCCTTTTTCTAAGTACTCGTCTAGTATCTTTTGTAGCTCAGCTTTTTCACTATATGACAATCTTCTAGGCGCGCAGTAAAATGGTTTATTGTTTTCTAAAACTAGGCGAATCTCTTTTTTAACCACGGGCACTTCTGGTTTAACTGCCTGTATATACTCTTTGTAAAACATATCTTCGAAACGTTTTTTATTACTAGCACTAACTTCGTGTCCTATCACATACTCAACTTTGTTTGCGTCCTGCACCTCAATTGTCAGAATCTCTCTTATAGCCGCATCTATTTCTTTGTGTACGTTGTTATCATTTTCCTTTACATTTTCAACATGACCTTCGCAATAATTTTCCACACCAGTATTTTCACTTTGATTCATAAATTCTACCGAACCAATTTTTAGTTTAGCATTACTAGCCGTAATAAAATTTCTACCTAACACAACTGAACAGCCAACCGATTCATTAGGGACCACCATAAGTTCAATCAAAACGTGTTTATTAAGAACTTCAATGTTACACTTGGTTTTACCAACAATTTTTAATTCAGACATATTTAATCCATAGTAAATACATTTCTCTTCCTGCAATTTAACTCTTCCCGGCACTAAGCATTCCCTGACCAAGCTTATGGGGCTCCCGGAATCGACTAGGCATTCTACAACCATATTAATGTAAGGTTCAGCTAATATACTAATATTAAAATAACTTACGAAATTATTCGCCGGCGGACTCTTCTTGTATTTACTGCATCTTGAAGCGTAGTGGCCCTTTTCTCCGCAAGCAAAACAGGTACCTAATTCGCGCTTTGCTTTTCTGCACTCTCTCGACAAATGGCCGTAACTGTTGCAGTTGTAACACCTGACTCTGTCCTCGCTGGGCCTTGGAGATGAACGTTGCGGCAACTCAATTGTACGAAACGCCTTCACCAAGCTGCTGGCTGTTGGGAAATTTTGCAGTTTCGCCTGGACCTGTAACTGCTTATCTGGGATACCGTCGATTATATATTCGACTAGCTCCGTGTCGACCACGTTCAAACCGCTGCTTAGCAAACACTTCTCATTGAAATAGTTAGCAAACGACTCTTCATAACTCCAGCTGCGTTTTTCGAAACGGCGTCGCGTAACCAGAAGATTGTCACTACGTGCAAATATTGCAGTCATCTCTTTAAGCACGGCATCTAGACTCCTTAAAAACATCTTGTTGGTGTTATACCACGTTGCGGCCGCACCTTTCAACTTCATCTGTACTACTAAAGCTAGCGTTTCTTTGTTTACTTTCAGGTCCTCTAGCAGGTGCACCACTTGGGCACGCCACATCTCAAAATTTTCGCCACCATCATAATCCGACACCAGTTGCTTTATTGTATCGAAGGGAAATTCTTTAGCTACAGTGTGCGTATTTTTTTTGCTCTTCTATTGCCAGCTTCAGCCTCAACATTTCGATTTCTTTCTCCAGTAACTTCACTTTGAGATTTTCTGACTCGGCATTGGCCCCGCTGTTAATTTGTACGCCAAACTCACCATCTACGCTGTAATTTGCATTGCTGTCTGAACCGTTCGCTATGTTGACCGCTACATTGTCCGCTACCCTTTCCGCTCCATTGACCGCTACATTGTTTGCTGCAATTACTGCAACATTATCCGCTACATTGACTGTTGAATTTACCGCAACATTTCCCGCTACATTTATCGTCACATTTTTCGCTGCATTGTCCGCTACGTTTTCCGCCGCATTTACCGCTGCATTTACCACTTCATCGTCAGATTCTCCATCGCTTCTTTCGGCAGCGTTGTCATTGGATTCGTCTGTTAAGTCAACTGGTCCGCTACCTGGGCACAATCCGCGTGCTTCTGCTGTTAGCTGACTAAGCCTTGCCGCTAGTGACGCCTTTGCACCGCTTGCGTTCACGCCAACAGCTGCGCACCACGCCTTTAATTGGAGGAGTGTATACCTCTCAGCTCTTACGACGTCGTCACCCATTTTAATCAGCGCGAAAAATTTTTTATTCAATAAAACTATGTAGGATGGAGTGGCTTCGACGACCACTTCTGATGAAAACGCTTACTTTGGGTCCTTCAATAAATTCACACGTCTAGTCT